GTTTATGTATCGCAAGAGGCGTCAAAAGCATAAAATGCGGACACACGCACGTCCTTGTTACGAACTTCAGCTCTGAACGCCGACATCTAACGAGGAGCATGGCAGTCGCGTACGTGGAAGAGCTTGCCGAGATGACAGACTGCCTAACTCTTGAAAAAGATAATTCAGCTGATCTGACCCCTGCACCTCTATCTCTTGATATTGGCCCAAGTTTGCTGCCGGCGCAGAAGCAAAGTATCATGCAGCTTATTAACAAGTTTGAAGATTGTTTCTCTTCGATTTCCAGGGTCCGTCAAACGCCGCTGACGAAACATCGAATTATAACGGACGACATGACCAGACCCATCAGGCAAAACCCGTACCAGATAGCTCCGCGAGAACGTGAAGCCATCGAAAAGCAGGTGCGACAGATGCTTGAAGACGACGTTATTCAGCCGTCGAAAAGCCCTTGGGCTTCACCGGTTGTATTAGTGAAGAAAAAAGACGGCACCTTACGTTTCTGCATGGATTATCGCAAGCTGAATCAGGTGACAAAAAAAGACGTCTACCCACTTCCACATATCGACGATCCACTCGATCAACTACGGCACGCACGTTATTTCTCGTCGATGGATCTAAGGAGTGGGTATTGGCAGATAGAAGTCGATGAAAGAGACCGGGAGAAAACAGCTTTCGTGACACCTGATGGCCTTTTTGAATTTAAGGTACTTCCATTTGGCTTGTGCTCAGCACCGGCAACGTTTCAGCGGCTAATGGACACCATACTATCAGGCCTCAAGTGGCAGACGTGCTTAGTGTATTTAGATGACGTCATCGTATTTTCTGCCACATTCGACGAACACGTCAGGCGACTGGACTCAGTATTTCAAGCTATCCGTTTTGCCGGACTAACACTTAAGCCGGAAAAATGCCATTTCAGCTTCGAAGAGCTTCTGTTCCTGGGGCATCCTGTCAGTAGTGAAGGTGTGCGGCCTGACCATGAAAAAATAGCTGCCGTTACGAATTTTCCAGCGCCAACTGACAAAAAGGCGGTCAGACGGTTTTTAGGACTGTGTGCTTACTACCGACGCTTCATTGAGAACTTCTCCCGCATTGCCTCGCCGTTGACTCGCCTTACCAGAGAAGACGTCGCATTCGTATGGAATGAAGAGCAGCAAAAATCATTCGACGAGCTGCGGCACCGCCTTCAGAAGCCACCAGTCCTCGCACACTTTGATGATGACACACCGACAACAGTGCACACCGACGCTAGCAATGTCGGCTAAGGAGCTGTACTCGTGCAGTGGCAGGATGGCGCCGAACGAGTAATTGCTTACGCGAGCAGAACTCTTTTACGTGCGGAAGAAAATTATTCCACTACGGAAAAAGAGTGCCTTGCAGTGGTGTGGGCGGTTATAAAATTCCGCCCATACCTGTATGGTCGTCCTTTTAATGTTGTCAGCGACCATCACTCCCTCTGCTGGCTGACGAATTTAAGGGACCCTTTAGGACGGTTGGCGCGCTGGAGCCTGAAGCTTCAAGAATTTGACATGACGGTGGTCTACAGATCGGGGAAGCGACATTCAGACGCTGATAGCCTTTCTCGTGCGCCATACGAACCTGCGACGGCAGAAGATTACGATACAGCCTTTGTCGGAGTTGTAAACACGGCAACTGTCGCACAGCTGCAACGAGACGACCCCGAACTAGAACCCATAATACGTTTCTTAGAGGGTCGCACTTCAGCTGTACCTAGACTGTTTGCGAGAGGGCTTTCGTCATTTTGCTTGCGCAACGACGTCCTGTATAAGATGAACTTCACACCACACGGAAACGACTACTTACTCGTCGTCCCAACATCTCTAAGGAGCGAAGTATTACAGGCATGCCACGATGAACCAACATCCGGCCACCTGGGTTACACGCGTACGTTGTGCAGAGTGAGGCAGAAATACTACTGGCCAAGACTGACGGCGACCGTTCAACACTATGTTCGGACGTGCCTTGATTGCCAGCGCAGAAAAGTTCCACCCGTCAAACCAGCAGGCCTCCTCCACCCTATTGACGTGCCTGTTACTCCATTCGCTCAAGTCGGAATGGATCTTTTGGGCCCATTTCCAACCTCATCAGCAGGTCGCAGATGGATTATAGTAGCCACCAACTACCTCACTCGTTACGCCGAAACCAAGGCTTTGGAGACGGGCACGGCAAGTGAAGCAGCCCGATTTTTCGTGGAGAATGTGGTGCTGAGGCATGGTGCTCCATCAGTGGTAATAACTGACAGGGGAACTGCATTCGCAGCCGAACTATTACAGACAGTTTTAAGACTTAGTGGCACATCCCACCGGCGAACAACGGCGTATCATCCGCAAGCGAATGGTCTTACGGAGCATCTCAACAAGACACTAGCGGATATGCTCTGCATGTACATCGATGTGGACCATAAAAACTGGGATGAGATCTTGCCGTATGTCACGTTTGCCTATAACACGGCTTATCAAGAAACAACAAGAACAATGCCATTCCGCCTTCTTGATTGATATGTGGGGTTTAACGTCCCAAAACCACTATATGATTATGAGAGACGCCATTCCGCCTTCTTCATGGTCGTGAAGTCACCACTATGCTGGATGCTATGCTGCCGCACGAGTGCGAAGACGCTGAAACGGATGCTGATTATATCACTCAGCTGGCCGAAGAAGCCCGACAACTTGCATGCCTACGTATTAGTCGCCAGCAGGACTACGATTCAAGACGGTACAACCTTCGTCACCGACCGGTCTCCTACGAGCCAGGAGAGAAAGTTTGGATATGGACACCTATTGGGCGCCGTGGCCTCTCAGAAAAACTGTTAAGACGGTACTTCGGTCCCTATAAAGTTCTGCGACGTCTCAGTGACATTAATTATGAGGTTGTTCCTGATACTGCGCACTCTTCAAGGCGTCGAAGGTATGCTCCAGAAGTTGTGCACGTGGTACGCATGAAGCCTTATTTCTCCGAATGAACTCATGCGTTTCCAACGAGTACAAACTGCTTTGATTATAAAGCATCGGGACGATGCTTTCTTGAATGGGAGGCTAATGTCACGGCTAAAGGCCGGGCAAGAAGACAGAGGACAATGAAGTGATGAGCATGGACAGCACCCACGGTTCCTCCGAGGAAGAAGAAGTCGAAGCGGCTGCTCTTTTGTTCTGTTAATACAGACCTCGTTTTTTCTGGTCGCACCATCATCCTGTATTCTGTTATTTTCACCTAGCGACAATATCATGACGTCCAGCTTCTCTAGAATAGCAGAACATGTACTGACATTGCCCGTGTTGAAGCACAGCACAGTTTCTGCAGCAGCAGCTTGCACAGCAAAAAAAGAATCGTGCTGCTCCTTTGATATCAAACTCCAAATCACGGATTGAAGCTTTCATGTGAATTCTAAGTTTTGCCTTGCTGACACCTTGCCTCGCTGCCGCATCACTTGACTCCAAAAAGCGCCCGATTTGTCGCGCTGTTGCCGACACTGACGAAGGACCCTCAAGTGTTAAGGTCGTCTCGCGGGCGTATGCACTTCATTGGCATTGATTACATCAGCATCTGCCAGCACACAGCCAGAGTCGACATAGCCTGCGCTGTCAGGGAGGCCCGTGTCTATGCGCACTTCACCGTTGCATATAGCATCGGTGCGGTCATAATTCACAGAGTGTCCGCTACCCGAAGAAGCCGTCTCGCACTCTTATCCATTGATAACATCTTCAGTACACGGGCGGCCGGCGTCCACGCCACGCACGCACGAAAAACAGTCTTCGGTTACGACGGTGTTATCAAACAATGTCAGCGATTGCTCCCGCAACATAGTAGCAACAGTTCTGCCTTTCTTCCATGAACGGCGAAAATGATGCGGCGATCAAAACTTTTTCGCACCGCCGGGCATAGCGAGACGCACAAGCACGTTAGAGATATGAGTTACGACACCTTAGCAAGGGCGATATCCTTTCAAAATGGCGGCGGACAGTGCCAGCAAGTTTTCCTGGCCAATCAGGAAGCACCGTTTTGGTCGCATGCGTCAAGCTACCAATGGAATCACGCACTGCGCATGATTTTGACTTCGCTTTTTTTGCTTTTGCGAGGGGCACAAAGTTGTCTACACGAAAAAAAAAAAAAGCTAGAAACGCGACCTTTCCAACAAGACCAAATGGCGCTAGTGGATCGCGTAGTTCGTGTGCCGTCGGAGGTTGAAGTAGGGCTTGTTTACACAAACGTCCACTTGCACGAAGTTGCTCTCTTTATGGGTTATAACTTGAGAAATAAGTGGAATTTCGAAGCCAAACTTTGCTGATAGGTGCGAAAGGGCATCGGGAACCCGAAAATGATGAGAGAGAAAATGCGCGATTTTTGGCCCTTTTTCTACATCTAAGTGCCGCGTCCCCCCTTAATAATGCCAAATGCACATGATAACAAGAGAGTAACAGAAGTAAACGAATGCTTGCTAAGAACAAAAGTTAAACTGAGGGATACAATCTATCATTATGAAACACAACAGTTCCTTCTTATGTCATGTGAAAGTGTGAACAAGTGAGAGGAAACTATGGCCATACTCCATTCCCATGCCAAATGAAATCCTCGGAAAGAAATATTAATAACAATGTGTTGGCTCTTTACCTTTAAAATCCCCAATATGATTGAGAAATGCTCTAATAAAGGGCTTCGGTAATTTCATTCCCCTGGAGGTGTTTTTAAGTGCACCTAAATCTAAGTACAGGGACCTCTAGCTTCTTGCCTCAGTCAAAATGCAGCCAACGCAGCTAGGATTCGGATTGCGTGATCGACGGGTCAGCAATCGAGCACCATAACCTTTAAGTATCATGGCGATTCCTCAGAAAGAAGGTATCAATTGCATCGTACACTGGCTATCAGCACTGGCATGCATAATCAGATTTATACCTTTTCCCAAAGGCCACTGACAACAAATTAAGAGGTTATCCCGATGCAATAAATAGCTCATTCAACAGAGTTCACGATTTCACACTCACTTCAACAGGTCAGCCGTGAGACCGTATGAGACGCCCAGGTAGTCGAGCTGCTCAGCTCGCTTCTCGCTCAGCTTAAGCAGCAGTGGTGGCAGCGCCTTACGTGGCTCCAGGCATTCTGCGCCTTCCCCATTGTCTTCCTCAGCCAGTGGCACACTATCTAGGTCCGTGTCTGGCTTCTCCTCAAGGCTCGGGATGTGACCCAGGTAGTACTCCGTCAGGAGCTCCAGGGCACGCAATCCATAGCCCATCTGCAATGGCCACAGTTTTCCGAATAGAGTGTGGTCACAAAAGCTCTCAGCAAAACATTGTATATTACTATGCTGTTAACACAATAGTACAAACACAGGTGACATCACTGTAAACATGCCAATATTTGCCAATGAACACAGGATGGCAGCTCAGGTGAGTGACAGGGACATTATGTAGCATGTAGATTCGACAAAATGCCCAACCGCACTATCGCATTATTTGTTTCCATCTGCAGAAATGCTCTAAACGGAGGCTAATGTGACCTTATTCTCAGGCCATTCACAAATCCCTAACAAGGAAAGACAGTTGTTTTTAAGTCACATTGTTTTATGTCATGGTTTACAAGCTTGAACAAAGCAGTTACAATTAGTTTTTCGCTTTGTTTTTGCGCTGCTATGGTTGCGTGGCACTACAAGCTGAAGGTTTCTTCTGCGTTCGACAGACGGCGCTCTGCCTCAATTGGCGCGACTTTTAAATTTTGATAGATGTTGTCCGCACTTGCAACTGTTTAGCATGGTTGTTAAACTACGTTTTGACCTTTATTGCGTCATTATTTGGAAATACAATGGCGTGATTTAACGTTGTTTCGATCGTCAATGGCACTGGCTGTCACACCGAAATAAAATGTACAGATACATAAAAAAACTTAACTTTCTTTTTCGTGGACCAAGTGGAGGCTGGATTCATTATGCAAGTGGGTTCATTACGCAAGTACAGTAGCTCCGAGATACAGTGCTACAAATATATGTTTATAACCAATTTTTGGACACAAATAAGTATTTTCCTGGCAGGTGTAACTTTGTTTAGTGAAGTTTGAGAGTATACAGTAAAAGCTCGTTAATTCACACCTCATTCATTCGAAATTTTGGATAATTCGAAATGGTCGCCGCAGTCCGGTCCCGCAGTGCATAGGAGACCATGTGTAAAACGATTCGTTAATTCGAACAGAAATTGCTGCCTCTAAGGATAATTCGAAGCACGCGCCGCCGAGCGTCATCATCGTCAAACACTAGTGGAAGCTTTTACGGTCGAACGATAGGTGGCACGACCAGTTTTTCCGAGCTTCAAGTGGCCTCCGAGCAAAGGGGGAGCAAAGTATGGCCTCCAAAATCCAGGGAGCAATTTTTTTTTCCGTAGCCCTCCCGCTATCTCAGCGCCTGGCGCCACATGTACGCGGGACCCACGGGACGCTGAGGAGTCGGCGGAGTAGTCCTAGCAGTCCTAGCAGTCCTAGGCGCACGTTGTTCGTTCAGGCCGTCAAGCCGTCTTATTCCGCATCGAAGTTGCAAGATGCCGCGGGGAAACTACTGCGCGGAGACTGTCAAGGAGAAGGTGGAGGTTTTGCGAAAGGTTGACCAAGGGAACTCGAGCAAATACGAAATTGCGAGGAAGCACGGCATACATCCGAGCACGTTGTCAACCTACATTTGCAACAGGACGGCCATTGAAAACGCCTATGAAGCCGAGGATTTTGGCGCCAGTAGAAAAAGGCTAAGGACAGCGAAGTTCCCGGAACTGGAGTCAGCTTTGATTATCTGGGTTAAAGAAATGAGAGCCCAGAGTATCGCATTGAGCGGCCCTATCATCGTGGCCAAGGCAGCCGATTTCGCCCTGCGCTTGGACATTGAAGACTTTGTCGCCTCCGAGGGATGGTTTCATCGTTTCAGGGAGCGGCACAATCCCGTATTCCGCACGTTATCCGGCGAGGCAAAGGAAGTGGACGCCGAAACATGCGCTACTTGGAGAAGCGACACCCTGCAGCAGTACTTGGAGAGCTACTCCCCACAGGACGTGTTTAACGCTCACGAGACAGCGTTATTTTTCAAGTTGCAGCCAGACAAGACGATCACCTACAAGGGAGACAGCTGTGCCGGCGGCAAGCGCAGCAAAGAGCGTGTCACTGTTCTGGTCGCCGCAAATATGACCGGTACGAAAAAGGACCCCCTTTTTGTGATTGGAAAAGCACTCAAGCCACGGTGCTTCAAAAACATTCGCTCACTGCCAGCGGAGTACGCCACAAACAAGAAAGCCTGGATGACAGGTGACCTATTCAGGAAGTGGCTACTGAAATTCGACAGGCGAATGGAACTGGGCGGCAGACGCGTTCTTCTTGTTGTCGACAACTGTTCGGCGCACAAAGTCGACGTTGAGCTGAGAGCAACTAAGTTGGTGTTCCTTCCAGCAAATACGACTGCGGCCCTACAGCCAATGGGCCAGGGTGTGATAAGGAACATTAAGTGCTTTTATAGGCGTCACGTGCTGGAGAGAATGATTTTGTGCGCGGGCGACAGGAAGGACTTCGGCATTACGCTGCTCACTGCCATGCACATGTTGGTGCGCGCATGGGAACAGGTGACCGCGACCACAATCGCAAACTGTTTTTGCCACAGTGGATTTGCAGCTGGAAGTGCGCAGGATAGTTGTGACGTCGACGTGGATGGGGCTGAGGAGCTCATGCCAGTGGCATTGCGCGACACTCTTCGGGGCGTACGTTTTGTCGATTATGTTGAAGTTGACACCGGTGCATCAGTGTGTGGTGCCCTGACTGATGAGGACATTATCGCTCAAGTAGCCGGTGCGCAGCCTGATGCTGAAGAGCCAGAAGGTGAGGAAGACGAAAATGACGAAGCGCCTGTGCGCCCGTCAGCTTCTGCGGTGATGGAGGCACTTAATGTGGCGCGTCTCTTCTTCAGCTTTGAAGAGGGTGAAGAGGATTCCCTGCGCCGCGTCCGCGCGCTGGAACAGAGCCGCAGCTGTGGCATTCAGAGAAAAGAAGCAGATGGTCATCACCGACTTTTTTTGGCCAATAAATATTTTTCGTGCCCCCACCCCCGAAATCCACCCATTTTTGCTCACTTTCATTATTTCGAATTTTGTTTATTTCGAAATTGCTCAGCGTTCCCGTGGAATTCGAATTAACGAGCTTTTACTGTATTAGGCTTCAGCGATATTCGAATGCTTCGAAGATTTGAACGAATATTACTGTATTCGAATTCGCTTTGAATTTAAATTGTTGAAAATTTCGAAGTATTTTAAATGAACAAATAGATGTCTGTTAGTCCGCATATAACCCCTGTACATGTGGTTTCACTGCAGTGATTAGGTGCTGAACGCCGAAAACATCTCTTTAAATGTACGTTATTTTGCACGCAACCTCTTGTAAAGATGGTTTCACTACAGTAAAGGGGTACTATGTCATGGAAACACAAGTTCAAAAAAAAATTCGCGCTGTCGTGAAGCCCCACTCCAAGACTGAATGAACGTATAGCCAGTAAATATTAAAATGCAACACATTTTACGGGTTGCCACTAGCATTCTATTGAAAGTCAAATACTGCTACTACTCAAAGTTGTTTCCACTTCTTTTGAATCAAGAAGAATGGCATTAGCACAGACCTTGTTTCAATTTTTAAAAAATGTTTTGTGCAGGTTGGTTAGGTTATGAAAAATGTGCCCTTTTTTTATAATATGTGATGTATACTATTCGAATTCGATTCGAAATTATTCAACCAAGATCACTATTCGCTTCTGAGGGAATTGAGGCTAGCCCGCTGCCTTTGCGCGGGCTTTGCCGCCTTTTCTGCCGTTCTCATGTCCCGACATGTCTGCCCTCCTTTGCTGTCTGCCGCGCTGGGAGAGCGGAGTGACGTTTAACTCCCTCACCCGGTAGCGGATGTAGACTGTGGCGCTGCGCGCGGAGTCTCCCGAGAGGTTTTCGCGGGCTGCGTCAGGAGCGGACAGATACTCTCCGGAACTGCAAACGGTGAGCCACGCAATCTTTTCCGTCCGTCGACTCCCGTCGCTCGGGGCTCGTCAAACTTCGCTGACGGCGCCTCGCGCCCGAGGCGAACGCTCACCTTTTGTTGCCCACTGCGTACGCACGGCTGAAGGGCGGTACGGTGTCCTAGTGCATGGCCTAGCTACGCCGACCCGTCTCCCTCCGAAGCCAACGCGAGCGCCTTTGCCCTCGCTCGAGCAACCGGGCCTTGGTCTCAGTGTCTCCGTGGATCACCTTTACCGCAGAGACGCGCTCGTGGCACCCTGTGTAGTACTTTTATGCCCGCGGCGTGGATAAGCCTATTTGCTTTCCCGCCGCGTCTTTGCAACGGACTGTACTGCATATGGTGTTGCCACAATAAAGTGTTGCGACTTTGACCAGTATCGTGTTCTCGCCACGGCGACGGTTAACGCGTGCCCTGCGGCTCGCTAAGACCGGACCCACGCTGGTGGCCGTACTCCTTTGGGATACGTGTACACCACACTTGGAACCCAAAATTCACTATTCCCACAAGCCTACTGTATATAAAAAGGGAATCAAGCATAGGTTAAACACATAGACGACAAACACAGAAAAAAATACTCACCCTTTGGTACTCGGGGTGAGTAGCAATCCTGACAACGCGAGCTCCAGCAAGACCAGCAAACTCTTCATCTTGAAACTGCAGAAGGAAGAAGACCACACATGCAGCTCAAGACAGACATTAACCGCATGCCCAGGCATAAGCTTTAATGTACGTACTGCAAGGTTTTCCTGCTGCTATTTATGTGTCACAGCAGGAGTGAAGAGCTGGTAATAAAGCTATGTTCCTCTTATGACCGCACTACTTAAGGGGGGACGCGGCACTTCGGGACCGAAAATCAGCCAAAAAATCGAGTTTTCGCGGACCTTCTTTTCGCGTTCCCGACATTATTTCGCACCTATTTACAAAATTTCATAGCCGAATACCATCAACTTTTATCGTTATTCAACTTTAAAAAACCGAAAACGGGCGTCCTGCCCTTTAAATTGAGGGCGAATAGCGCAGGTTTCGGCTCTACGATACGCGGGAACTACGCGCTCGATCGGCGCCATTTTGGTCTTGTTTGAAAGAACGCGTTTTCAGCTGTTTTTTTTTATTCAGTAAGCAACATTGAGCGTTTCCCCGGCTCGAAAAACGGGGCCTCAAAGACGAAGAGCCGCGCTCACTGCCATTGGCTAAACGGCGCACGTGACTGAAATGGCGCTTTCCGGTTGGCTGGAAGCTCGCGGCTTGCGCCTGCATACGCGACCGACGCCATTTTGAAAGGGTTACCGCTGTGACGCCTCGAAATCGGCAGAGCACTCTGAAGCTTCTGATCGTATCGCCATGCCTGGAAACGCAAAAAAGTATCGGACCGTGCACGCATTTGGTCGCAGGAAACGCAAAGGTCGTGGGAGAAAGTCTACGAAGTCATCAGAGCCCTTGGTTGACTCCGACGAACGATGTGTCGACGCTCCGCGGCCGTTCAGCGATGGTGCGACCGAGCGCGTTGCCTCCGACGACGATGACGGTGAAGCGAACTCCGGACGACTACGAATCGACGCCAAGGTGGTGACAAACGCCGAAGTTGAAGAAAATCATGCCCGGGAGAAAGCGACGCTCGACCGGCTTTCATCGGCGCCAGCAACTGCACGGAAAATTGACTTTTTCACCGCGAGTTGTAGCGAGGCAACCGCACAGGACTCGGACCACGCTGCTCCTTATCTGCTTATGCATCTAGATATCCTAAACGCGATAATGGGTGCCTTGTGTTGCAAAGCCTGCCACGGACCGGCTACGATCGTCAGAGGGGATCGGGACTACGGACTTGCCGTGAAAGTGCTAGTGCAGTGTGAAAGGTGCGGTGAGATCGCGAATGAATGGACTTCGCCCCGCGCGAACGGCACGAAAACGTGCAATCCGTTTGAAGTAAATCTTCTCGCTTCGAGGGCGATGGTGGCTACCGGCAACGGCCAAACGAAAATGAACGATATTTTCGCAACAATGGGCATCTCACACCGCGGTATGCACCACAAGACGTTTCAGCGGCATTTGAAGAACACGCTGGCACCCGCTGCAACGCGAGCGGCTGAGTCCGCTATGAGCGAATGTGCGGAAAAGGTTAGAACAATTTATGATGACTTGTGCTTCGGCCACCGGGGCAATATTGCCGTTAGCTACGACGGCACGTGGAAGATGCGAGGTCATTCTTCCCACATCGGCGTGGGCACAGTTATCGAATTATTTAGTGGCTACGTGTTGGACTACGTCGTTCTTTCCAACTTTTGCCTAGGCTGCGAGGTGGGCCCAAAGCCTAGTAGTGAGGGCTATCAAGAATGGAAGGCTAACCACAAATGCCAAAAAAATACGAACAGCAAAGCGGGGCAAATGGAAGTGGAGGCGGCTCTAATTCTATTTCAGAGGTCGCTTGAACGCCATGGCCTGCGCTACACAACTATGCTGTCTGATGGAGACTCTAGGACATTTTGCGCCATACAAGATGCCAAGGTGTATGGTTACATTGACGTGCAGAAGGAAGACTGTATTAATCATGTACAGAAACGGATGGGCACCGCATTGAGAAACCTGGTGCAGAAACAAAAGTGCGATGGGAAAAGAGGCCTTGGTGGGAAAGGCAGGCTCACAGGTGAGCTGATCACCAGGCTGAGCACATATTGCCGCGCGCTTGATCTGCCAGCGCAAAAGAGGCAGACGAAGTGGCAGTTCCCCTCGTGCCATTGTTCTGTTTTTGGCTGCGCTGAGCCGACCGCTCTTCGGACTTTTGTGAGGACGCCTTAAAAACGTCTCCTGTCTCTTTAACGTGACATTTTAATGGTGGAGGTGCTGGGTAACCTCACCTATGCAACAGACTCCTTCTAGCAGCCGGAACGTGACCCAAAACCCAGAGCTTACGCCGGTACACCGTTTCAGTCGGAGGATTCGAGGACTGTCCCCCGAGTTTGTGCCTCACAGTACAAGTACGTCGACTGGTATGGAGAATACTGTTGCTGTCACCGCTTCCCCTGCCGCTGGAGCCGCCGCTGCTCCAACCGCTGCACCCGCAGCTGCACCCACTCATTACACGCTACAAAAACCACGTGTTCCGAGTCCCTTCCGTGGTGGCCTCTATGAAGATGTGGAAGATTGGCTGGCTGAGTACGAGTACGTAGCGGATTTCAACGGGTGGGACGAAGTAGCGAAGCTCAAGAATGTGTACTTTAGTCTTCTGGATGGTGCTCGCACATGGTTCCAGAACCGCAAGGGCCTCCTAACGTCGTGGCATGAGTTCTGTCACAGGCTCCGCGAAACGTACTCGAGTCTCGATCGTCGAGAGCGCGCTGAAAGGGCCCTCCAGTCCCGCATGCAGATGCCTAATGAAGGTGTGGCTACATACGTGGAGGATATGGTTCATCTGTTCACTCGCGCCGATCCAACCATGCCGGAAGACAAGAAGCTGCGACACTTGATGCGAGGTGTGAAAGAGCAGCTCTTCGCTGGACTCATTCGTAGTCCGCCTAGAACGGTTGCGGAGTTCCTCACTGAAGCCGTCGCCATGGAAAAGGCGCTGCAGCAGCGGAACCAGTACGATCGGCAAGTGAATGCTACCTATACCACCGGGCTAGGCTCGTTCCCGACCGACGTGGGAGCGCTTCGCGAGCTGATACGTTCGGTTGTTCGCGACGAGCTGCAACAGCTGCAACAGCTGAACCAGGCGCAGCAGCAGCCTTCCACGAATTGCATCGCCACCATCATACGTGACGAAGTTCAGCATGCGCTCGGCACACCTCGTCGCGAGACACCAACGCAGGTTGCTGCACCACTTCAGGCGTTCGCAACTTCAAGTAAACCTCTAGGGGTGACCTACGCAGACGTATTGAGACGCACCGTTCCGTCGTCCACGACACCATCCCCAGTGAGTGGTTTCCAGCGTACCACTTATACCGACACGTTCGAACACAACGCACCTGCACCAGTCCCACTACCAGCCGCAACCCCGTACGCCACACTGCAGTCCGCACAGGTGGTCCCTTATTTTGCAGACACTCGACCCGTCATGCGTAAATCCGACATATGGCGCATGCCCGACCGACGACCGCTTTGCTACCACTGCGGTGAAGCGGGTCACCTCTACCGAGACTGCCAGTACCGCCGACTTGGGCTGCAGGGTTTTCCTGCCAATTCACCCCGCCCCCGGTTTGGACAGAGACCACCAGAAATTGAAGATTTTATCGCTCGGCAGAACGTCCCACTCAGGCGTCAGTCGCGCTCACCGTCACCGCGGTCGTCATCTTATTCAGGCAACGGAAATCGAAGGCCGCAAGGACGGTCTCCGAGCCCTCGCCTGGAAAACTAACGCCAGCGACCTTTCGAGGCGAGGCCGCTGATTCTCGACGTGATGAAGACCTCGCCCTCCAATCGACGCGACATCGGACCAACGGAAATTCGACTACGCCGGCGCCTGTATCCCAGCTGAGCGACTTTTCAATGGACATACCTGTGCTGCTCGACGGTCGCAATTTAACTGCCTTAATAGACACTGGTGCTGACTACTCGATTATTAGCGGACAATTGGCACGTACCTTGAAGAAAGTGATAATGCCTTGGACAGGATCGCATGTACGTACAGCTGGCGGACATGTTGTAACGCCGGTTGGTTTGTGCACGTCCAGGCTACAAATACGAGGCTGCACGTTTTTGGTCAGCTCCATCGTGCTACGTGACTGCTCCCGCGAATTAATTCTCGGCCTCGATTTTCTTCGGGAATATGGCGCCGTAATCGACCTACGGCGACGCTGCATTTCCTTTTCGACAGTCAACGCTACGTCAAGGGACTCCAACCGCCGTACAACCGCCCTCCGTGTTTCCGACGACAGTGTCACAATACCACCTCGTGCAAGTATCCTAATTCAGGTGACTTCCGAAGGAACCAGTGACGGTGAAACAGTGGCAGAGTGCAACGTCTCCCTGCTGCTGGCGCTTGGAATTTCTGTGGCACGAGGCATCATTGACATTCGGAACGGTACAGCCGAGGTCATGATTACAAATTTCACCAATGAGCATCGTCACCTTTTCCGGGGCACTGCGGTCGCCTACGCTGAAGCCTTGGAGGACGTCATTGAGTGTTTTGCCTGTGAAGACAGTAGCCGCGATGGACAAACCGTAATAGATGTTGACATGAACAGTGCACTGCCAGAAGAGAACCAGAGGGCCTTGCGAGAGCTATTGTTTGAATTCAGGGCGTGCTTTGCTCAGTCGTCTAAAGTGAGTCAGACGCCAATTACACAGCACAGGATAATCACTTACGACGACGCAAGACCTATTCACCAACAGCCATACCGCGTCTCGCCGACAGAACGCGCAGCTATCAAGCAGCAAGTGAAAGAAATGATCGACGACGGCGTTATCCAGCCTTCGAACAGTCCCTGGTCCTCACCGGTCGTTCTGGTTAAGAAGAAGGACGGTACGCTTCGCTTCTGTGTAGATTACAGAAAGCTCAACAACGTCACAAAAAAAGATGTTTATCCGCTGCCGCGTATTGATGACTCGCTTGACCGACTACGACGAGCGAAGTATTTTTCTTCTCTGGATTTAAAGAGTGGCTACTGGCAAATTGAGGTTGATGAGCGCGACCGTGAAAAAACCGCCTTTGTCACGCCGGA